ATTATTGTTCACTTCAACTTTTCCACTTTGAACTTATATATACCAGTTCGCTTCCAAGTTCTCTTTTCAAAAGCTGCTTGACTCGCGGGTCGACAGTGGGATCCCGCAGGTATCGGGACGATTGAGAAAGGACCAACACCATGGAATTTTCCATAGCAAACATCAGTAAATGTCTAGTACAAGACAAGAGAACATTAATCATAACAAGAAGTGATAGTAAGTGCTTAAAATATATCAATCAATCGTTACATTAATCAGTCAGTCAATTAGTCAATCACTCGATCGATTGATTAATCATTCATTCAACCAATCAATAAATCATTCGAGCAATCACTCAGTTAATAAATCAATCAAACACTCAATCAATTAACCAATCAATCAATTAACCAATCAATCAATCAATCAATCAATTTAAAAATCAAACAACCACTCACTCACTCAATCAATTAATGAATCAAACACTCAATAAACCAATCAACCAACCAATCAATCAATCAATCAATCAACCAACCAATCAACCAATCAATCAATCAATCAATCAATCAATCAATCAATCAATCAATCAATCAATCAACCAACCAATCAATCAACCACTCTATTAATCAAAATGGTGAAAACTTGCGGTAAACTAGAACAATCAATTAATCATCCAATCAATCAATCAATCAATCAATCAATCAATCAATCAATCAATCAATCAATCATCCAATCAATCAATCAATCAATCAATCAATCAATCAATCAATCAATCAATCAACCAATTAATCAATCAATCAACCAATCAACCAGGTTTCTTACCTTGGTAATGTTTCTGATAAAGTCCTGACAGGAGACTTAACTGGTGAGCGTGCATCCCCCTGACAAATAACAATAACTTAGCTAAGTGTTATTCCTTCATTTTTTTCCGAATTGCATCTCCACAGTACATACCCCTGGACTAAGGTTTGTAAGACACATATTCAAACAAGCCAGTAATGTACCAAAGGAAAGAGGTTCCTCATGATCGATAGCTGGGGAACTAAATCCTAACGTAGCTAGGGGCACATACTCATCTATGTCCATTCCCTAGGAGATAAACAAATTTAAATTTAAAGTCTGATCGTTTACAAAGTGTCTGTGGAGGAGGCCTTAGCCCTGTGTGTTTTACCTCATCGAGTAGAATTTCACAAATGTCTGGAGTAAACTGCCGTAACATCGCTAACGAGTTGCATAAGATCTTTAACAGTCTGAAAACAATGGAATAGTTGTATAAATTGATCTGTAATTTTTTGAAAACACACTTAAAGTGCTCCTTGCATGAAAGTGGTATTATTTCAAAACTTCAAGCAATACAAATATATGACTCATTTTTATCTATTAAAAACAATTGCTGGGAAATATTTGTTTTGGAGTTATCCCACATAAGAGAAATTTTGATTCAAAAGATGGAAGAACAAAAGGATKGAGTAGATGACGTCATCTACTCCAACATTTTTTGCCCAAAATATTAAGGATTTGTATCAATATCTTGTTGAAATCTGTTGCTTCATGGTTATTAGACCCATATGGATAGGTCTATTTGATTTTCAAGTCTTTTCTAATGTTTTGCAAGTTTCGTCCAAGTAGCCCCTTTAAAAGAGCCATTGCTAACCGACATGCATCGGGAAAGTGGCTTGCTTTTTTCACATACGAGATTTCGGTCATTAACTTCCATGACCAACTCTTACTCGGATTCAAACTCGTAGAGAGAGCGGATTCTTTCTTCTTCTCACAGAATACATTGGTTGTCATGCAAACACAATGCGATGTCAGCTTACTTTGATTGAGTCGTCGACACCACCGGATTATTCCTAAACGATTCTTCATCGGCATACGAGTACGTCCTTAGTAGTTCGCGCGCTGAGAATGAACTACTCAGAGTTTGACTTAAATCAGCCAATGGTTGGGATCCCTTTTGTAGAGGATTTCCAGTAGACATCTAAAGTGAATAGAATGGAACAGAAAAAATGAAAGAAACAAAACAGAAGAGAAGAGAACTCAGNATGATTAAAATTTTCAAAACGTAAACAAAATCCCGCAAGGGATGCTAGTTGGTAAATAGGTACTAAGCCATTTAGAGTTTCCACAGCTCAGTCTGTTAAAATCAAGTCTTGTAATTTACCATTTGCGCATGCTCACACATTATCTAATAATCAATGAATAATTTGAATGCTAATTTATGACACAGGAAACCCAATACTACCAACCTGGATGATTTTCAGCACGCGAGTGCTGTAGCAACGTTGATATAGCAGAAAACACAGGAATCCTGATGTAGTCCAGTAACTGTTTGTCATTGTTATTTGCAGTTTCTAAGATCTCTACTAAACTATTAAAAGCTGAGCCTGTAGTCTTSAATGAACTGCAACGATACAATTTATAATAGTTGTATAGCGTCATGACGTCATGTATGTGTCGGCGAAGTGCATCATGGTAAGATCCAAGATGGCGGATGACTCATAAAAACTACGACGAATGRAGTTTCTTTGCGGACATTTTGCTATTGGATGTAGAAAATCCTTTGAAAAAGCATTGAAGAAGATGCCTGTACACTAGCGTATGTTAAAAGACCTGGTTGAGAAATAACCAATGCATGTTGTTCGATAAACAGCCTGAAGAAACACGAACGAAAAACAATATGGCTGACTTTGTAGTTTAATCAATCCCATGATGCATTTCGATACTAGTAACGTACCTTTTCCATTGTTTWAGCAGCATTAAATACAGTGAGCTCAGCTCGTGWGCTGCTGCCAGAACATCTAGAGAAACGGACTGGGATACCTACATCAAAGATAACATACACGGTGAGKTTAGGTTTAGGGAAATATAGGGTTAGACACTGTATAGCGCTAGGCTTGAATCTTCATGTTCACTTATACTACAAATTTAAATGTTTTCTTTTGAAAATGAAGTCGAAGTCTTTCAATATTTCTTCTCCACATAATAGAGCTTTCCATAATGTACATCTGGGCCGGGTTGTTCAAAGCCCAATAAGTGCTAATCCTGGGTTAACTCTTAGAAAATCWATGGAGTTAACTCTTGATTAACACTAAACGGGCTTTGAACAACCCGGCCCAGCAGTGTAGACATACATGCAAACATACATGGAAGTTGTTTTGTTTAATAGATCTCTTCCAAAGCAAGGGGTAACAAACCTTCGTTTTCAGAGCCTTTAGAGTTYCCTTCAATATCTCATGTCTTATTTTAGCGTCACGCAAGCCATAGACATCAGACTGTTAACAAAATCAAATGTTAATGTTTGAGAAGTTAGATATCCATGAAACCASGACAAAGCAATGTGGAAATGAGGTAAGAGATGATGTAATGGTATGATGTGAAATGGTAAAATGAAAAAGAAATAAGAAATGGATGAAGAAGAAAGATAAAAGGGAGGAAAAACGGTAAAAGAAWAATCCACTAGGGAATAAAAAGAAAACAAACCTCTGACGATGAAGCGACAACAAGAAACGATCTCCATGACCTCAGCAGCCTTAGATACTCATTCTCGTTAGAAGTAAAGAATAGAGGACTACGTGGACGTGATGTCTCATTGACACTGCCATTATCTTGACCACAAGTAGAATTTATCAACTATAATATGAAGTTTATTTTAATGAGCAGTAAGAAACATAAGAATACATAAGCATACATTCATCATTTCAATAGTAACTGAAAAGCTGTATTCACTTACCGCTGACCAGTACTCATATCGATGTTCAGACGCAAAACCCTTTAGGGAATTCTTTAAACTATCGTCCAATTGACCACTAGAATAACAGAAGGAGAACTCATTGATTTTCACACCTGGGCGAAGTCATTAAACCCGTGAAACAAAACTTGACCATTAAATCATGGTAATCAAATAGGCATAAAGAAAACAATGAAATTAGAGCGTACTAAGGTGAAATAGTGTAAAATCTGTTTCACGGGTTTTCCCTTTAACTAATATAGATATTATCATTTATATACAATGTAACTTGTCAGCCTACAATCGATGCCAAAAAGTCTTGAACCATAGAATTATTTGTCTCCAGCCTAACATTTTTCTCCTTTATTTTTTCACAGTCTTTCCCGTTAGCCCCCTTTTATCAATGTTGGGTCTTGTTTTGGATGCTTGTGTACTATGGTAACATGCTCAAAACAACATTACATTTAGGGGGTCAGGGGGGATGAAATTGTCTGCGGGTGTTTCTTAAAATGAGGAAATTCGCTGGAATGGTCCAAGAATTTTGTCAACGATTGTACCTCTTTGTTGGGCTTTCTGTTCCTCATGGGAGAGACAGGAAGCCCGAMAAAAGTGTAGGCGACTGACAATGTAAATGTACCTTGCAACATAATAACTCTCTAGAGCAAGGATCTGGAATGCGTAGGAGCAAGTTTGAAGTTGCGAACGTAAAACCTGCCAGAACAAGAACAGTACATTAGCAGTGATAATAATGATGATTATAACAATATTTAATCGTATGAGGAAGTGGCTGATCCCATTAAAGAGTGCTCAATACACATAACAATATTTATAAATAAGTATAGCACAGTGATGATATTCACTTTTCATACCGATTCATCAGCTCCATCAATATCCAAGTCAGTAAATAACGGCTCCATTAAAAATTGCCAAAAACCTTCACTAAAAAAAAATCAACATTATAACATAGGTTTAGCTGACAAACTAAGTTGACACCGCTTTCAAGCAAACAGGTGGAAACTAGAGGTAAACTAGTGTGAGCTATACGTCGGTGTTTCTAAAGGAACAGTTGTGTAAAAAGATAAATTGAACACCGTAAATATGTGAAACAACTTACTGACGTTTCGGACGTCAATCCTTCGTCGGAGTAATAAGACGACGACGAAACGTCAGTAGGTTGTTTCACCTACTTTTGTACGGTGTTAAGATTTATCTTTTTAGTTACACAACTGTTTCAAGCAAACAGTCGTTGATATTTTCGATGTTTCTATTYTCCACATTCTCTGATAGAAATCGATTGGGATTGTTGAGGTTACCCTTGGAATGGCTTTGAATCACTCACTTTCAGCTCGATTCAAAACCCTTTTGATTCCGTGTGTTTCTAACATTACCTTGTTCTGATTGCAGTAAGAGCAGCATCTCGTCTATCAACCCATAAAGCATGRAACAGCATGAAACCAGATGAAACTAGTGCTGGTGGTAAGTGAGTCTGCACAAACAATTAACGGAATTATTTCAGAAATATAAACGGCGCGCGTATCTCTGTCTTCTGAAATAAACACGGTGAGAGTTGAAAACACGAGAGAAGCAAGCTTAGGAACACGAGCTTAGCGAGCACTGGTGGTCAGCCAATCAGAACGCGCGTTATTGATCAAAAATTTGATAATGATCTTGATAGAATTCCTACAAAGGAGTACTATTAGTTAAATCGCGAGTATTATGGTATGGTAGTTGCGCGTGGAGACTTGATGTCCCAACTAAAACAAATAGTCGCCTGAAAATGCTGTTCGAGGATGACAATAAATTCTTGAGGAACATATAGTTTCAAAGGACAACCATCACACAAAATGCCGGAGCACTTCGAAATCTTCTCTATTCACTGATAGTGGTCTATCACAAATTAGACTATTAGTAGAGTAGCCAATCACAGCGCAGTATGAGTGATAGACCATTACTATGTTTATACTAATCACTGATAGTAGCCCTCCGCGTTGGGCACTGTCGCGTGAAACGGTCGCCTCTGCGGCACGGGCTATCGCGTCACGTGGTCGACTCTTCGCCAATGAGAGCGGAGTAAAAATTGTTGTTGAGTTATCAAGTAGGATAGTGTCTAATAGGGAGAGCCTACGTAGCACTCAGTTGATGTAATATATTCATAAAGATATAATACAAAACACATAATACAATAGAACGAGAAACACTGGAATACAATACATTTTATGAATACATTACATCAACTGCGTGCTACGTAGGTCTCCCCGTGTCTAATATTTTTCGTTGAATAAAGACAGTTTTACCTGCTTTGAAGGATGTACCATACTCAACACAGCGAGYAGACAGCTATGATCACCCAATGTAAACTCCTGAAATTCAAAAACAAGAACAATTTATTCTAACACTGTTCATGCTTAACAATGGCAGACTCGTACCCAGTCCTTACTCTTCTTTTTCTCTCTGGCGCGCGCAAAGGATCAAGGGAAGTTCCGACTTCATTTGATGCACCGCGACCCGTAAAACGATCAAGAGAAACTACTGGGTACGAGTCTATAACAATGATTCAAAGAACTTATTACGTTACCTGATTATTTTTGTCTTTTTCTTTCAAGTCCAAAAACAATTCAATCAGCCCTGGCTGTGTTTCTACTGCTGTTGCGATGAACTCAAGGATGGCAATCTTGAGCTTGGTGTCCTGTATTATAACAACAGAATCGAACCTCTATTAAACGACCCTCTATTKAGCGGTCAACCTCTATTAAGCGGTCACTCATGAATTCCCAAAAAATCGATGATCATACGAATGTACTGTTACAAACATGACCTCAATTAAACGGTCTCGACCTCTATTAAACGGTCACCTGGTCTTTTCCCAAGGTGATCGCTTCATAGAGGTTTGTCTGAATGTAAAACACACATAAGATATTTTCCTCCTTTCACAACTCTCCATTTTCCCCTCTATTTGGCCAACACAGGAGCTCAGTGTAATGCTGCTTACAAAGGTGGCTAAAAGCAAACTTTCCTTCTAAATTTATGTTGGAAAGACAGTGAAAAAATGTACTTAAAGAAGTCTTTAGAGTTCCCTGCGTCATCTTGTAAAGCAACTCTGCCCTTTCATCGAAGAGAATGAGCGTTCAACGATAGATTTCCGTGAACAATGGTCTGTAGGTGCGAAAGAAGGTTTCTGTCAGTACACGCTCAACGATTGTCTCACTGCGATGTAGAGGTACAGTTATCTTTTCAAAATGCACAGATAACAGTGAAAGAGATTAGAGAGTTTAAGCATCACGTTAACGGCTAACGGCAGAGCTGAACCAATGACCTAAGAATTTCGTGCCCGACCTTGTTATGTGCTTTAGGTAGTCATTTGAAAGAGCGACTTTTCACGACTATGGCAACCACAAAATAACCCGCCCTCGCGTTGAAACTGCAATGTTAAACTCCAAAAAAGCAGATCACGTGATATTTTCTGTCGTTTGCAGTTTGCCGTGGACGTCATGCTAAACCTCTCTCTTACTACCTCTGTCAATGACTGGAGACGTGATACATATCTATCCCGCAAAGCAACTGCCTCTGAACCCAAACTTGCATACATGGACATAGGTGCAACCTGAAGTATAAATGTTGCATACATGGACATAGGTGCAACCTAAGGTATAAATGTTGCATACATGGACATAGGTGCAACCTAAGGTATAAATGTTGCTTAGGTGACTAAATGTGAAAAATGCGTTGAAAAAGAAAGACATAACCGAAATTTCTGGTAGAACAGATTAAAAACTGATTAAATTACGATATAATACAATACATAGAGGATATTACATGGGCGCGCGGAGATACGGATTTTATCTTCGAGTGTTGAAAAGATCTCTCACGAATGAGCATAGCGTATCTCCAAGCGACCATGTACTTTTCTGTTCATCATATAATTGCATATCAAAGCAAATTATGTCGTATAATACTATTGTTATTTTCACTAGTGAAAACAACAACTTCAGTATTTCATAGATAATTATATGATAAAGGTACATATATAGTGCTATGAAATGTTATTCAAAAATAAAGGAAGTGAGGGGAGCAAGGAAGAAAGAAAGGTAGATTGAGAGAATAAAAGGAAGGAACAAGGGGGGAGGAGTAAAGAAGGAAAAGAGTAACGAGAGTGTGGGACAAGGGAGAAATGGGTGCGGAGGGAGCAAAAAGGAGCTGTGAGGGAGGGAGGGAGGGAAACACTTCTCTTACCATACATAATCTCTTAAGCAGTAAAGTAGCAAGTGTAGGAAGTCTACAGTCAGCCCTGTGGTGAATATATGACGCTATGACAGTAACGAGATGGCTTTGCGAGGTGTTACCACTGTATGAATTACTAGAATCCTTGAACTGATGGATCACTTGTGTTGATAAAGCTTGCTCTAAAGGTGAGATTTCTTCCTCCTAATTGCGAATAAACTACATTAATTACACAATTAATTAATAGAGCGGATTTCGTATGAGTAGGACACCGTTACCGCACGGTTACCGCACAGTTACCGCACCTGGCCTGCACAATTTTTGTGAAGCAATGAGACACTAGAATTTGGTTACAGTACGATTACGGTCACAGTACAGTACCGTCCGTTTCCCACTCATACGAGATCCGCTCTAACATTTATACATTATGTTAATATATGTATACAGCTATTTCAAAAACGTTGTCGGGGAGAACGACGAACGGCGATTGTGGAAGGGAGATTGCTTGACGGAAATGAAGTATGGTTACGCTGTTTTGACAAACAAAATTTCACTTGTTTGATATTTCAACTTGCATAGAAATGGACACTAAATGGAATCTATCCTTACAACAGACTATCATAAGGCCGTCCGTTTACACTTGCGAATTTTGCAGCGCGATAATCGCCACTTTGCTGTCGCGCAACTAAAATCGCACGTGTTAACAGCCCTGCGATTGTTGTTACAATGTAAAATCGCCTCCAAGTTGCATCCAATTTTCAAGCACGTTCGAAAATCAGGCGATGCTCAGGCGATCGGCCAGAGTATCATCCTTTAAAAATAGCAAGTGTAAACGGGCCTTTATAGTATAAATCGGTGTTAATTTGCTTCAATTAGCAAAACCCATAGCTAATTTCGGTCTTGAAATGGCCGTTCGACAATTGACATTCGCCATTTTATTCCACAACCTCTTTTATATAAGGTTTATAGACCAAAATACRAAAAAATTCTTCTAATCAAACCTTATGTTTTCTTGCTAATAATTTGTTTAAAACTGAAAAAGACAGCTTGATCAGCTTGACAACAGCAATTCCATGTCCGCTTAACCTATTATAAATGGATAAAAATAAATAAAATTAATTCCCTTAAGGAAACTAGGGCAAAGAAAAAACTGTTTTGGRGAGGGATTCTTCGTTTTCACTTTATAGGTCACAGCGGCCATCTTGGTGGAAATTCAACAAAGGATTTCTCATTGGTATCTATATATTGTTCATTCCTCCAACATGGCCGCCGGTCTTTTATCTTTTGAATCTCATGGAAATGATTGAAAACAATCAACATGCAATGTGCAGCGACGCCATTTTGTGCAGCAAAGCATCATGGTAGTTATAGTTCTAGGACTTGTTATAGAGCCTAACATCTCGTTAAAAGCTTTTTTTACCGCTTTTTTTGTAGAAACCACAGAACAACATCTATTTTGGGTTAGAAAAAGCAAAAACATTTCAAAAGGACTGTCTTAGCGGACATGAAAAAGTACGAGGACTTAAACTACCATTCATGCTTTGCTGCACAAAATGGCGTCTTTGCCATGACCATAGTGATATGGACACTAGRTTCCAGCTCACCCTCCATGAGAAATCAGCCTGTCGACAGTATCAACTCCAGTGCCTAGAATATGCAGTAATGACTGGCCAGCAGTAGTGTACAGGAGACTGTGAGCAAGGACGTCTTGCAGAACACAGGGTGACCTAAATTATAAATACATTTTCTAAAATATTTAGGATACTACGCGCGCTGTGATTGGTCGAAAACCATGTTTGATTACAGTATCAAAACACGCTCGCGCACGTCAAAAATTTCTTTTTTTCTTTTAATTTTAGAAAAGAAATAAAAGACGAAATTCCGTGTTTGATACTCTGATCAAAACACTTGGGATGTAGGGAGAGCACTCGAAAAGCTGGAAACCACTCCGCTACGCGTCGTGGTTTCCTACGCTTCTCTCGTGCTCTCCCTACATCCCGCGTGTTTTGATCAGAGTATCAAACACGGAATTTCGTCTTTTATTCCTTAAATAAAAG